TTATTTTTAAAAGAAAAAATAGATCAAGAGGAAACATGTTGAGGGTGATCTATCTTGACAAATGTAAAGTATATAGAAAAATATATTTTTATTATTAATTTTATTTTTATATATTATATTAATAAAGTGATTTTTTGATACTTTAATTTAAGAAATTAATATTTTAAGTCTAATGGAAGTCTCCATATGGCATCTTTTATGAGCTTTTTTTTTATTTCTTTGTTTTTTCTTTGTTTTTTGATTTTTACTTTTTTAAATTAGATAACTTCCCAAAAAAAAAATGACCAATCGAAATAACCACGTCTCATCCCCATTTGTTTTTTTGTTACCTTTCACCTTTTTTCTTTTTAGATTAAGTAAATTTCATAATAAAAAACCAATTAACTAGATATGACAAAACTAAAAATTTGTTACCAACAGCAATGCGTGGGTATTTGCTTGTTTATAATATAAATGTTGCATATGTCTTGGGCTACATGTTGCTCCTTTGTTTTTTTTTTCTTTTTTTTTTTCTTAATATATAATAATGTTTTAAAATGATAAAAAATATATTTTAAAGATTTTTTTTGTTTGAGGTTGACTTATACCAAATTTTTGTTTTTATATTTATTTTTGCTTTTTGCTTTTTTAAAAATATTTAATATATATGTTCTAGATTTTTTTTTGTGGGATTCACTTGTTATTAAAAGTATGTCATGTGTTTTTTTTTTTTTCTTTTATACTTTTCCTTTCTTCTATTTTTTATAGTTTAATAAATAATTTTTAATTTTTTAATTTTTTTGTCAAATCCACTTTATATCAAAAGTATGCCACATATCAAGTTATTTGATTCTTTTTTTTTTTCATTTTTTATTTTCCTATTTACTTTTTTTTAAATATTAGTTCCATTTTATATTATAATTTAAACTATATTTTTTATTTTTAATTTAAAACTTAAAAAAAAAGATATTAACAGAGGTGTCGATGTCGCATTGAGATTTAAATTTTTTGTTTTTTTTAGTTCTTTTCTTCTTTTTTTTTAGCTTTTTAGTTTTCTCAATATCATGACATAAAATTTTCAAGAAAAGCTCATCATTATTGATGTTGAGTGGCTATTCAACTTTTTTACCTTTTTTTTTATTTTTTTAGTTTTTTTTCCCTTTTTTAGTTTTTTCTTTCTTTCTTTCTTGTTTTTTCAATTAGATCATTTCTTTAAAAAAAAATCAAATGAGTATGTACAGTGACACTCTATTTTGGTTTTTAAACCTTTTGTTATTTTTTTAAAATTTTTTTATTAAAAAATTGATAAATAAAATTTTGAAGATAAACATCAATGAAGGTACGTATAGCAAAACAACCATATTCGATCCGTTTTTGTGTGAACCCAATAGTCCTTTTTTTTTAATTTGAGATTAGATCGATTTTTTTTTTTTTTAAATGAGTCAAGTTGGATATGAGTTTAAAGTGTGTTGTCCCACTAAGATATGTATAAATGCATATTTTATTATTCATTTAATTTTATATTTATGTATATTATATTAATAAAATTATTATTTGATACCTTAATTTAATAAATTCATACGTCATTTTCATTTTGTTTTTTTCTTTTATTTTTTCCGTCATTTCATTTTTTTAATTAATTTTTTTAAATTAAATAAATTTTGTAAAAAAAAAAATCAATAGATGTAATGGTGATAAAACAACTCATATTTCATAGGTTTCTATTTAATGAATAAGGATGAAAAATAATTCACCTTCGATGGACTTCAATCCGACTTGATTAGTTTAGAGGCAATTTTTTTCTTTTTTTCTTTTTATTTATTTTTATTACATAAATTTTATAAGAAAATAATGTCAATAAAGGAGTCCATGTAGCACCCTATTTGTTTATTTCTTTTATTATATATTTGTTTTTTTTATTTTTAAATTAGATAAATTTACAACAAAATGAGTCGGTCGATAAGGCTGGCAAAATAATAAATGTGTGATAGCTTTATATCTGTCTCAATTCGAGATAAGCATCTTTTGTAAAAAATCAATATCAAGTTGAGTTGAGTTAATTTTTTTTATATAAAAAGTAAAGACAAGTCAAAAGTGGATTTAAGGTGTTTAGCCCTGAGCCACCTCGTAATATATATAAAACTATATATTTTATGATCTATTTAATTTTTAATTTTATATTTATATATAATATATTAATAAAGTTATTAATTTTATTTTTATTTTGTTTTAATCAAATTATTATTTAATATTTTAATTAAAAAAATTTAAACTCAATTGAGAAACCCACGTATATAATTACTCGATAAACTTATTTTTTGTTCTTTTTATTTTATTTTTCCCTTTTCTCGTATTTTTAATGCATTTTTTAAATTTTAATTTTGTTAAGAAATGAAATCAACGAAGATGTCCATATAGTATTTCCACTTGGTTTTTTTTGTTTTGTTTGTTTTATAATTTTCAATTAGAAAAATTTTGCAACAAAAAAGTATCAATTGATGGAGATACCAAAACAATATATATTTGATGGGTTTCGATTCATCCCAATTTGATAGGAAATGATTTTTTAAATTGAGAACGAATCGTGACAGATGGAGTTTTTTATAAGATACAAGATTAGGGTGGAAGCATGTTTAGTGTTTTTGTCTCAACTCATTTCGAGGTATAAAAGTATATATTTTATTATTAATTTAATTTTATATTTATATATATTATATTAATAAAATTATTATTTAATACTTTAATTTAAAAAATTAATATTTTAAAATCAATGTTGTCTTCATGTTGTACCTATTATGAGCTCTTTATTTTTACTTTTTATTTTTTGTTCTTTTTTATTTTTACGATTTCAGTTGTTTTAAGTTTTATTTTTGATTAAATATCTTTTGTGATAATGGAGAGTCAATTTAACTATTTACGTGTCACCTTATTTGAATTTTTATCTTTTAACTTTTAATTAAATAAATTTTACAAAAAAAGAACTTAATGAATAAAAATGACAAAATAAAAAAATTTGACCCACAACAACACATGAGTATCATCTAGTATGTTCTTGAACCATGTATGCTTTAGTGTTCCCTCTTATTTTTATTGTATTTTTTTGTTTTGAGTTTCTTGATTGATTACAAATTTGGATTGAGCAATCTAAATTTCTAAAATGATTACTTGATAAACTTATTTTTTTTTGTTCTTTTTTATTTTTGTTGTTCTCCTTTCTCGTATTTTTAGTGCATTTTTTAAAATTTAATTTTGTTAAAAAATGAAACTAATGGCGATGTCCATGTAGTATTTTCATTTTTTTTCTTTTTTGCCTTTTTATAATTTTCAATTAAAAAATTTTGCAATAAAAATGTGTTAATTGATGGAGATGCCAAAACAATATATATTTGATAGCCTTCGATTATCCTAGTTTGATAAGAGATGATTTTTTAATTCAAGATCGAGTCGAGATGGGTGGACTTTTTTTTATAAGATACAAGATTAGGACAAAAGCATATTTAGTGTTATTTGTCTTGACTCATTTTGAGGTATAAAAATATATATTTTATTATTAATTTAATTTTATATTTATATATATTATATTAATAAAATTATTATTTAATATTTTAATTTAAAAAATTAATATTTTAATATCAATATTATCTCCATGTGGTACCCACTATGAGCTCTTTTTTTTTAATTTTTGTTCTTTTATATTTTTACGATTTCTGTTGTTTAGAGCTTTATTTTTTATTAAATATCTTTTGTGATAATGGAGAGTCAATTTAAATATCCACATGTCACCTTATTTGATTTTTTATTTTTTGATTTTAATTAGATAAATTTTACAAAAAAAAATTTAATAAATAGAAATGACAAAATAAAAAAATTTTGACCCACAACAATAGATGAGTATCACCTACTATGTTCTTGAACCATGTATATTTTTGTGTTCCTTCTTATTTTTATTGTATTCATCGAACATAACACTTGTTTCACTTGATCCGATAATTGTTTATTGGTTTAACGCTAATATTTTATTTATAAAATAATTAACTTGCATGAATTAATAAATCCATTTTAATTATCCAACAATATATATACATATAATTAACGAGGTATTGATTCAGTGATAAATAATTTGATTTCAAGCAGATTTTACTTATCAAAAGCCCTCGAAACTTAGAAAAAAACTTCGTTCTTGAAACTTAGAAAAAGACCTCGTTAGAAGGAGAGATGACTTAAGTAATCACTGTTCTTAGATCACTGATACTCTACTCTCCGGAATAATGACACAATTTTCGCCACCATTTTAAATAAAAAAAATCTTACCAAAAAAAGATAATGATAATATATACATATATGTAGTTGAGTTATAATTATTTTAATTTGAGATACGCAGTAATTAAAAATAGCTTGTCGCAACCGTAGCATTTGCTGCAGTATTCACCGGTACCTGGTGGATACAAGCGGTGAGCAAGGCACTGCAACCTTGAGTAGTAACTCAGCTTTTCAAACCTCGGTTCCCTCGCATATTTTTAGCCATCTTCCTTCACTTTCTCCTAACGTTCTTCGATCGGAATGAAGTCCGACTCTCAATTCCCTGGATTCTTCTACCCGATTGCTAACTATTTTTGCAATGGCAGCAATGGTAGTTGCTGCTTTCAGCACAGGCTCTTCTTCGGGCCTTGCTGATGCCTATCACCACTCGTTCCATTGGACTCACTTTCTTTCCCATTTCGGTTACTGTACCATACTTTTCTTCCATTTCATATAGACGATATTGTCGGCATACTTTTTACTACTACAAGCTTTTTTTGGCTTTTCCTTCGCAAGGAATTACCAAATATAAATAAAGTTAAATAAGAAAAAACAAATTCCAAAATTTTTTCATGCTTAAAATTAAAAAAAAAAATTCATTACAAAATTCCTTTTCAAAAAATAAAAAGCATGATCAAATCAAAATCTTAGCTTAGAACTTTTTTTTTGTTGTTTCTTTGGGACAACAAATCATGGCTTGTATATTTATTGAAGTTAACATAAGACTTCAATTCCATAGCATCCTAGGGATTGAGCGAAAAAAATAAAAATTATAGTTCTCTTTTCACAAACTTTGCACAACATGCCATTCCGAGCTGGAATTGACATCATTTATATATGAATAATAAAATGTATACAAATTACCTTAAGGTTAGAAGTTATATCTGCCTGCCCACATTTTTTGCTCAAACAAAAATGATGCATGATCTGTATAACATTCCAGAAATATTACGACATTAGCAACAATGCGGTGGTAAAAATTGAGCCGTGATCACCGGATTGATAGAATAGAAGAGACGGGAAAGTAAATATGAACGGCATGTTGCCCTCCAAAAACTCGAATCATTGCCTCTTCTTGAACCCTGTACTCTTACAGATAACACCAAACCCATCTCTTTACGCCATTAGCTTCTGATGATCAGCATTTACATTTTGAAGAAAATTACCTACTTCAAGCTTCTCCAGAGGGATTTGTCATGGAAGATGACTCGGGGCTGCAATTCCAAAGTTCTTTCAGCTCTCCTCTCACCAAACCTAATATGACAGCAACTCCTGGGAGAAAAAATGAAAATCAAAAGGGAGACCGGGAAAGGGGCAAAAAGAGTTAAAACGAGAGAGCATATCAGATCCTTTCTGACAAGCCAGCCAGAAGTAGCCTGTCCAGGTGGAACTGTGAACTTTGTTACCTAGTGTACAAGGAACAAGATAGAGGAGTGCAGGTTGACCATGCCCATTCATTAGATATAGCCCTAGGTATGTAAAGAAGAGGCCTGCAATACGTGAAATTGGATTAAATAAGTATCAATATATAGCTTCACAATAGTTGTTTGTAGTTATCCAACTCTTTTGCTAGCTTTTCAACCAACTAAATACGAGAATACACCACTGATATTCATTCATTTTCACAAATCAAACATCAAAGTTATTCAGTACTGTCAACTTAACACGCAATACAATGCTTGAAACTACATGATATGTCACAAGATAGAATTTTTTTCCAGAGATTAACAACCACGCTTCAAAACTAGGACCTGAGGGCAATAGTACATGTCTGTTTGTTGGAGAATCAATGATGATTTGATTCTTTTCCCTTGAAGAGGAAATCTCAAATGTAGGCAGTTCCATAGGCCATTTATATTCAGGCTTTAATTTGGTGCCATTTTGAAACAAATAAAGGCAAACCTGGTGCTTTTGGTACTTGCATGCCCATGAATCACAAAATTGCTACTGAAGTGATAAACAGATCTTATGACTTTAATTAAATGTACATACATAACTAAGCAGATGCTGGTCCCAACACTTGCATTAGCAATGGACAAAAATTGCTACGATTTGAAATCACAGAACATATATGCCAGGCCAAACATCAGTGAAATCATTCCAAGTTAAATAAACATCTATACGGAAGTTAGACAAGGAATGGAAATTGTGAAGAAGAAAATCCAAATAACCAAACTCAGTTTAAACATAAGAGCAAGCCTTATGAAACTATTATATTTCACAGACAAATTATATTATTCTGATATAAGAAAGAAAGAAAAAGAATAGCTTGATATGACACATGCACACTCACCAAATCCATAGCCAATTATCAACCACAGAAAATACCCATTGGCAAGACGCTTCTTGTTTTCTTTATCATATCTGATACAACCAAATACGGTAAATAATCATAAACCCACATATAACAAAAAGATGAGAACCCTTAAAAAAAAAAGGCATAAAAGAGGCAATGGACTGGTCTGCAATATTAACATTAAACCCAAAATTAACACTAAAACCAATTCAAATACTGGACTGGTCCAGTATAATCCAGTTCAACCAGGTGTTTGAGCAGTTTTTAATCGGTTTGACAAAAACCCAGTTCAATGGCCCTTATCATACCGCATAGGCTGCCTAGCAACCCAAAGACCTAATAATAAAAATTAATGTTGCTAAACATCCCAAACTTGTTGCATCTGCAAGATAAATCTTTTCCTAATTCCTCCTCAAAAGGAAAGAATGATTCAGACAATTTCTACCCCCTTTCGTTCTGCTTGTATTAAACCATTTTACACACCCACACATAAATACAAAAGGTTTCAATATTAGAGGTGGTCCAGTCCTTTGTCAATCTCTGGTTAAGTAAGAGAATAATTATTTCGTAGTTTTAGCGATGGCAAAATTACCAAGTCCAAAAAAACACAACATCCCACCTATTCTGGTGCACCCTAACCTGATTTGACACTAAAAAGTAATTGAACTTAGTTTTAGATTCTCCTAGTGCAAAAAAAAAAACAACAAAAGTCAATGCTTCTAAGAACTATAAATATTTCTAACTTGCTACTATTGTTAGCTAGTTTATTCAAATAAAAGGAGCTTGCACAATGGAATAAGCATAATTTCTTAGGCTGATTTAAATTGCAATTAACGCTGCATGTGATTTTACAGAATAAAATAATGGATCTCTCGTTTCAAATATTACAGTTGACTGCTTTGGAGATTATTCTGTTGATAAAAGAACTTTAAAACTCATAATGTAACAGAACTTCCTGCCTACAACAGGAAGTAGTTCAGCAAGAAATCAAGTGAAAAAATGGTCCTTGTGCTGTGGTCTTTCAGTTTCTTAAGTTTCAAGAAGGAAATTACCAGTTATTAAAGAACCAATTTTCCATATGCTATACTGAATGCAGACATGAGAGGTTCGGCACAAAACTTTTGAACCCATGAGGGCAATTTTAGATCCATCCAACTCTATGGGGATTATAACTGAAACTATTGCTATTATAGTATATCGCAAATTGGTCTTATTTCCAATATTATATTCTAGCTTGAAAGTCACATGTATCATCCTCTAAAGCAGGCTTTCATCAGCTTGAAAGTAAGTTGTAGTGTGAAAAAGGATCTCATATAACCAAACTAAGGAAGAAGGTTAATCACTTGTTAAATCATCCTAGAGTATCAGACAGTACGTAAGTAAAAATAACAACTAAGAACATGGAATACACACTACGATGTTGTGTCACATGTTTCTTCTGCTTCTGTTTTATGCTACCATTTTAGGGACGGTATTACCAAAAACCAAAAAATTAAAAATATGTGTTTTAATATATTGAATTACAACAAAAACAAATCACAGAAAACTTTGCATCTTGGTATCAGATGATGTAAGATAACAGAATTGAGAAATGTAGTACCTGAAAGCAAATGCAACAAGCAAACCAGGAAAGAGAATGTCACCAAATCCAATCATATCATAGCCACCCCATGGATCAAAAGTTCTAGGAACTCTCAAAAGCATGGGAATTGATTCTCCACCACTATTGTCACCTCGAGCAACCTATTAACAGGAAAAAATGTTAGAGATCAAAGCTCATCCTTGGACTGTCACCTTATATTATTAAATCTTTAGGTTGACATGATGTTTAGTGTAACTATAAAAGGAAAAACAACACAAAAGTGGGGCCAGCTTAGCTTATGAATTAGGAACTTTCCATGTGCCATGACCACTTTATTAGAGTGGAATTGTCGGCAAGGAGCAGGATTTTACATTTTACTATAAGTATAAACCATTGTCAAGTCCTAGCATATTCAAAAAATAAAACATTATGCAGCTGGATGCCCAGATTGGCCTACCAATTCAACCAATTTACATAGGAAGTAAAGCCTCAAACACATTGACATCTAAAACAAAATTGATTCTTTTATGTGGTATCAAAGCCTCCTTGACCTAGAGATTTAGAGTTTAAGTTCACATTTGCCCTCTTCCAATAAATAAATCCCAGCAGATGTAATGGACCAGCTTGGCTCACACTTCATAGGCCTTGTCCATTAAGGATGCTTGAGATTAAAAGCTTATTCTCAGGCCTTCACGAAATACCATAGGCTAACTAGTTATTTGCCAAGAAAGATTAAGACAATAAAAGACAATAAAGTATATGATTAACAACATGCTTTCTGATGGAAAATGTTGTCTATCACATAAAGAGGAAGATAACAAGATGTAAAACCCCCTCAAAAAAAAAGTAGCTAAAAGAAAATGCAAAAAAGCCAAAAAGAAAATACAATACAATCAGTTTTGTAGCTCCAATAAGGAGCCCTGCAAAGTGATCTTGAGCGGTAAGGGCCGCATGTATTTTGGAATCTAGAAATCATTTCGTATAAGTCAAACATGAGAAGCATATGTGAAAATTCATAACTTCAACCAAACCAGGCAAGGAACCATCCCTTGTCTGTCAGCATATATTTGATTGTGCTATTATTTAAGTCCATCAGCATATGGTAAAAATAATAACTTCAACAAAACCAAGGAACCATTCTTTGTTCCATCAGCATATATTTCCAATGGAGTAAAGAAAAAGACTATCCAATGCTTGGCAATAATTAACACAAAGCAAAGTAATTTCAATTCAACAACGAAAAGGATGAGCACTTACTGCAATCATCACACTCTGATGGAATATAAGGGGTGATAGGAAGACCCAGAAGATGTCATAAACAAATGCACAACAGAGAAGCACTGTAGCAACCTGACTCATGAAGAACAATCAGCGCAAGGAGTGAAACATAATTCATAAATGCATGATAAAAGAAACCATAGTACCTTGATATTAGGTAGCCGAGCCAACTGTAAGACTGTTATCATCAAACAGATACCCTTTTAAACAAAAAAAAGAAAAAAATCAATTTTAAGGTAGTCAACAAATACAAAGCAAAAGGCATCTGAATAATGTTGCATCTGATCTATGCAAAAACAACAGCAATCAAACTTAATGCTAACCTCAAATTACTTGAAACAAGAGAGAAACGAGTCAGTGGAACAGCACCGATTAAAATAAAAACGAATAACAATGGATATCACCGGGAATTCAAGCATGAGATTGACTAAATTGCAACCATAAGATCCTAAATACCACTTCTTTTAAAACTGGATTTTGCCCACCTAAATCAACAATTCTAATTCAGCTGTGTTTTAGTGCCATTCACATTAGTGGAACCACCGTTAAACAGCTTTCTAACACTCTGATTTTCTGACCTGGATCTAAATCCTATTCCGAACCTTGTAATACTCTTATGATTTCCAATCCTCCTAACATCATTGGCCATAAAGTTTAATCTCAAAATCCTACTTGTTTCCTGCATTAGCATCAAAATGTTGCCAATTTGATAAAATCCTCTTTCCTGTTCCTATAATTTGCTTCACATATTCAACATATTATTAAGCAATGATATGAGATTGTGCTAAATATCTGCACCTTAGAAAGTTCGATCAATTCCCAAAAGAAAAAAACCATAATCAGTCCCGAAAAAAATAGTGGTATAGAAGACTTACAAGAATATTTTGGCCCACCCATGAATATGATGCTCGTCGATTGACAGCCCATACAACAGCGAATATCAAGCAGAATAGTGCAACCACAAGTGAGACAACAGAAACCTCCCCAAAGAGAGGAAAATTCAGTGTTTTCTGTGGACAATTTCTGCATTTTCTGCTTGTACACTTATATTAGGAACAGGAACAAAAAAGAGACTAGATCTAGTAAAACAGCTGTGTGACAGGTTCAGTAGCAAAGACAGAAAATTTCAAGCATACCTTAATATCGGCGTCATAATGCAATTATGCATCCCCTGAAAAAAAAAAAAAAAAAAAAGCCCTCAAGGACTTATGACTATGAAAAAAAAACGCAAATAACAAGAAAATAGAAAAATGGGAATAGGAAAAAGGGAAAAGGGAAAACTAACTACTTCAATACTGTTCATATAAATGTTGCAGAAACAAGATGACATGAAGATGGTGCTTTCAAAAACAAACTACGCAGAAGTATAGCATTGAATAGCAATCCACTTATGCATTTCTAATCATGTATTTGGAGGTGCTAATATTTTATGTATTGCATTTCCATTACTAAAAAAATGCAAGAAAACAGGGAAAAAACCAATAACTTAAAAGTGTAGTTTTTAACATGCTCCGTCTAACATTAGTATATTCGAACATACGTCCTAACATCATGATAAATAACACATTAGTTGCAAAAGTAACTACGTCACCTGAACACCACCAAGGCAGAAGAGTACAATCAGCAACCAGACAAACCAAGAGGACATGAAAAAGAAGAGTAGCACCAGAAAAGTGGATGCTGTTATCACAAAAACTACAGCACCCTTTGCACTAATATCAAGGATTTCCTTATCATCATCACTGCCTGTTCCAGCGTTGGAAGATTCCTAGTCAACAGCAGCAAAAAAAATCACTTAAATTTCCTTCCAATAATCAGGGATATCATGCTATAATGATAGAATCAGAAAGAAAGTGAGAATTCAGATACACTAAGAAAAGGAAGAGAGAAATTAGTATAAATTGGATATGGTTTCTTCACACAAGTAGCAACGAAACCAGTTTCTCTGGCAGAACCAAGCTCAGATGAGGATTATAAATTCTAAAAACATCTAAAGCTTTTGCTATAAATTCTGAGTAAAAAGTTTAGTCCAACAGTAATAGGGTCAATTGCTTATGGAGAGATAAGTTAACCAATGATCTAGAATATCAATAATATAATATAACATAATATGATAATTTATATATAAATTACATTCACAAGTAATTAGTTACTGAGTTAAATATGAATCCTATCAAATTGAATTTTAATTATTAAAATTGATAAAATCCCTAATTTCACTTTTATCTTTACATCCCCAGTTTTAAAATTAACTAATCAATTAGAAAATTTAAACGTTAAAAATTTTAATTGACACTTCCAAGATTTATATTTTAAAAACTATTGTTTGTAAAACTTCGATGTATAATTAGAAAATATATCCATAACAAAAGTATCCATGGCAAACTCTAATAAGTTTCTCGTTTGATATTTAAGAAAAACTGTGACTTCATCAGTTTGTATTATAGACAACTTTTTAAAGAAAGCATTATATGCAATAAGTGTTGATGATGCAGGCATATGCATTTTTTGTAATTCCTTGCAGAGGACAATAACTCCAGAGATCCCATTGCAGTGTCATGTGCCAACATAAAAAGTTCAATAATTTCATAGCACTGATGGAACAAACACCATACTACCCATCAAAATAGTGTTTTAGAGGTATGAAAAACTATATGGATGCTAATCATCAACAAACTCAGCGGATAATAGAAAAATATCTAGAAACAGAAAAACTTAACTGTATACTGCCTACTAGGCCCACCCATAATTTAGAGAACATTCACTAAGGGCCACCATAAACTTACTTTAAAAGGAAAATAGTTATACAAAGAATCACTTGAACTTCAAAAATAGCATGAGTTTATGAGCACCAATCAAGTTTCTTGGAATGTGCAACTGCCATCAAAGGCATTTGTATGGGAATACTAATAGGCGCTCAAAATTTTAGGATAACCTAGTGGATATGCTATTCAAGCTCATCACAACCAATTATTCCCTATAACAAGTGTTAACAAACATAGATGAAACATGCATCAATATAAAGAATTCAACTCTAAACTTCATAACACTGGATAGAGAATAGAATGTGCTAAACCTTCGATAATTCATTATAGCGTTCATCAGTGTGCTTAGAAGTACCAAACTCTTGCCAAAGTGAAGCAGTAACAATTGTGCCAACAGACATTGCCCACAAAAATATCACTGAGAAATCCACGACGGGACGAGTTGGTGCATATAATAAAAGTTCCACTGCATTGGAAATTAACATGATTTGGTTTATGTAAATCTTCCTATGAGAATAAACTTAAAACATTAGAAATAATGTATGCATCAAGAATGAATGGTATATATACCCAAAGTAATACTAACACATATAAACAAACAATAGGTTATAGAAGATCAACTAAACCATCAATTCTCTATATTGTTATTTACATGAAAAATATATAAAATAAATTACTTTTTTTAAAGTGTAGACAATTGCCCCAGGAAAAAAAATCTTAGCAGCAAAAGTGTGAACCTCAAATAAAGAACCAGTGCGCAAAAGCATGAAACTCAAGTAGAGTACTGAAGCAAGTCAAGTACTGAAGCAAAATCATGAACCTTTTGGGGATAGATGTTGCGAACTGAAGCAGATTGAAATGCAACCTGCAATTGCTATTCCAGACATATGATTCTTTCTACCCCTATTTTACTTCTTTTCTTAACTTTCTCTGGCTTAATTCTTAGCCAGTACAAAACTCCATCCTCTCAAAGCTTCTGCTGAAAAAGGTACTGCACTCAACTCAGACCTGAATTCTCTTTCTTATTAAGCCATTCTAATCTTAAATCCCCAATGATATTACTGTCTGCTTGAAAATTCATAAAAAGAACAATTTTAGTTCAAGACCAGATCAGCCCTGATGTCTGCATTCAAGAAAAGCAGAAAGACACAATTTCTTATATTAATAGTTCATAGATAAGGGAAATAACATTTTAAATATTTTGTTTAGTAACATACAAATTTTTCTTATCTTTTTTAAAGCTTAGAGTTTGCTCACACTGGCCCATAATTATATACACATGCATGTACAAAAACACAAAACCCGCACAGTGCAGAAGATGTATGCATAAACCCAAAATGACAAACCTTATATTAATGGCATTAAGTGATTTCTTCAATTAGACTTGACCCATTTAAAATTTTTATTTACCTAATCAGAGGATGATAAAGTGTTTCCTGAAAATGTTTCCATTCTCTCTAAAGGTGTGCCAAACAATATGTTGGACATATTTCTACACTGAACCCACTCAACTAAGCCTTAACCAAAAGCTAGTTGCATTTGGCGCACTTAATTTTCCTGTGAAAAAGTAGCCCTGATCAGATCTAGAGGTTTAAGTGCATTCTGTCCTACATAATTATAAATGACTTTCAAAACAAGAGATCCTTGTTTCTAACAATCTAGGAAATAGCTAAATAAATCTGAAGAACAAAAATAAAAGGAAGAAAAGATATCATTTGAGCTCAAGTGCTAACCACGTTTGTCTTCCATAGATTTGCTAAGTGCATCTCCCGCTGATTTCGGAATCATCACAACAGGTATCGAAATATTTAAAGAAGTATCATTCTCAGAACAAACCATCTTGTAAAACTCTGGATAAATTAAAAAGGAAGCTTATGTAAGAGGTTGATAAACCATTAAATTGTTTTAATCATGTGTCCAATTGAACTTCAAAACCAAGTTAATACAAATAGCATATTCCAGAAAACAAAAAATTAAAACCTTCTTTGTCATTTATCACCAGCAAGGCTGCAGCACCTCCTGACTGAGCAACTTTTGCCTTAGTTATGAAGTCACAATCACCACGAGTGGACAAGGCCGCAGAGCCAGATAGCTGTAATCATAAAATTGTAACCATAATGCTTCAAAATTTGTTCATTTGGCTTACATCAGATTATAGTGCTTATGAAACCACTAAACTTAGTTCAAAATTTTAATAAAGTGTTATCTTCAAACTTCAAAGTTTTCCCAAAACTTCATAGGTTGCCATGGTCCTCCCAGAACTTAGAGAAGTTTAAAGGGTATGATTTTATAAATTTCACAATATTTAACTAATCAAACAAAAATGTACTCCAACTCATAATAAAAAGCCAAACAACTCTTGACAAGGCAAGTTCAACAAAAATTTTGTGAGAACATGATAAAATGGGACAGAACCTTTGAAGAAGAAATCGAACAGCCATTTAGGGGATTTGAGAAAACAGCAGGCAATTTGGGACTTTCATTAGCCTCCTCGGGCAATGATGCTCCAAAGCTCGCAGTTAACCCAGCTAAATCTTCACCTTCAACGCCATCAACCCAGATCTTCACCTTGACCTGGAAGATTTAAACTCAATATCAAGGAATGAGGGTAAACATATATTATTACTCTTTTGCACTCTATTACCCTTGACACATGAAATTCAGACAAGCCTACCAAGTCAAAAATCTCACTTGCTACTTCTTATTTATCTATGTTTCTGTAGAATAAGTTTCAATACCAACCAATAAAGTAATCAGCCTCTTTCATTATATTGCAAAACTCATTAAAATAACAATAAAAACCTTCAGATCATAAACAAAAAATTTTAGGTATCACTAAAATAACAAGTGTACAATATTATTTTTATCACAGACAAACTTTAAAATTCCACATAGATCCATTAGACAACCACACCAATTTCTTGTATCCCAGGAAATTATCTTTTGGTCCTTTTTATTGTATTATTATTGTCATATAACACAATTTTAATGCAGCTTGATGTTCTAGATAAAACCTCTTCATATACATTTTTTCACTCTTCAGCACTCCCTTGTTTCAAATAATTGGCAACCACTTTTATAACAATCCTAAACCCCTTTCTATAAAAATGAAAATTCTAAAAGACCTCTAATTTTTTGAATCACTATCCTGCAACAAAATCCCAATTAAGCAAATTATTCAAATTCTTTTTCCATAATCATGTTTGTTACAATTGGCCTGCGGGTTTTGCAACAAATACAAACTTCAATTACATTATGAGTGAAAATCCATCCACACCAACATTTCTTTCCATTGTTTTCTGCAATTAATGGAAAAGGAAAATTTTTGTTTTTTTTTTCTTTTTCCTATTTCTCTCCCTATCTATCTTTCTATCTCTTGTCCTCAGAACCCTAAAGATGAAAAATTGAAAATTCCTCAATGGGGTTAATGGAATTTGGAACTATTCCAGTTCATTCCAGAGATTCAGAAAAAAAAAAAAACCGATTGAAAGGGAAGAAAACAATGCCAAAAGCATTCAGCAATGTCGTAAAAACTAAGAATGGAAAAATGAAACTACCAATTTGAAAGGGTTGTTACAGGACGGTAACTTGGGGCCATTGTCCTGGGAGCCACCGTCGGCGGTCGCGGCAACGGCAAATGACAGAGCCACGAGAAACAATAAAGGAAGGGCCGCCGAAAACCGGCGTCGGCTTCCCGGTGGAAACGACATGGTGATGTGGCAATTATTGATTGGAACGAAAGAGAAAGAATGCTTTCTCTTTCCTGAGGGAAGTTAGATAAAATGAGAATGAACAGAGAAATTATAAAAAAAATTTTGTCTCTGAATACGTTGGCGAAAAACACGTTCCGTTAGTAAGTAACCGAAAGATTCGCTGAGAAGTGTTACGTGTAATTTTTTTAAGGGAGGAATTGGAAATGGAATAACTTCTTTTTTTTTTTGGAGGAGCTTCTATTTAGAGGAGCGACCCAACAGAACCGACCCGCAGATCCAGCCTGTTTCTGATCAGATCTAAAAGCCTACCAAATTTGGGTCAATTAGATTCAACCTGGGTTTGGGCTTCAAGGTCCGTTGGGTTTATGTCTTCTCCCTTTTCATTTATTGTATGATATTAGTTATGTATTTGTTTTGATGTTTTGCTAATATGATTTTAATGGGTAAATATATGTTTTGCAAATGGATTTTATAATTTTATAATTTAAAAATGATTTTTTAAAGTGATTATTTTTGGAAATAAAAAAGGAAGATGGTATTTTCAAGTAAAAAATAATTTTGGAGACTCTATTTAGATATAAAAAATAATCTAAATAATTATTTTTTACAAAGGAATATCATCTTTTTTTAAATTATTATGTGAATTTTTTAAGTAAAAAATTAATTTCTAATTTCATTTAGATATTAAGGAGTTAAAAAAATAAATAAATAAATATTTTTAACATAAAAATGCCATTGTCGTCGTGAATAAAACCTATTTAGAACAAAAAGGAAACCACATGCTCTATGTATCATTTAATTTATGTACACATTGTCATATATACATTTATGCATTAATAATAAATGTGAATTAGTAAAGTAACGATTTCAAAAAATTTATTTTAGGGAAAATAAAATGATATTTCAAAAAAAAAAAAAAGATTTTGTAGACCTTGTCTAAATATTAAAGAGAATTCAAATAGTCATTTATTAAGGGACATCATTTTTATTTTTATTAAAAAATAATTATGAGAATTTCTTAAATGAAGTATTTTTTTTCTTTTAATTTCATTTAGGTATTGAGGAATTAAAGAAAAATTTTCAACGTAAAGAATAATGATAATAAATAAAATTAAATGACAATTTTTTATCACTAAAATTTTTTTAAAATAAATGATAAAAAATGTAAAAGGAGATAATATAAAAGGTTTATAAGATGAATTCAAATGATCATTTGTATCTTTAGATTTGTACTTGCACCTTTTAATTGTATTTACATCGTTTGTTTGCTTTATATTACATCATGTTTTTTATTATTATCAAAAAATATAAACTAATAAATATTGATTTTGAAATTGTGTTTTTAAAAAAAAAAAAATATTCCTAAGTAAAATAAAATTTTGAAATTCTACTTAGATATTGAAGGGTTTCTCCATAATTATTATTTATAAAAGAATATTATATCAGATTTTAAGAATTATTATGAGACTCACTAGTAGAAAAATATTTTTCGAGATTTCACTTAAATATTGGGGAATAAAGAAGAATATTTTGACACTCAAAAATTTCATTTTATTTCTAAATAAAATGTTAAAAGAAGGATTTTGCAAGAAATAAATTAAATTGAGGGAATCATTTGAAATATTCAAATTTAAATCATTTTTATCCAAACCAAAAGATAATAAGTGATCTAAGGGAAATGTTTTTAAAACGGGTATCATGGGTTGCTAATTTTTTCCTATGTGTAACTAAACTTCCAAACTCAAATTTGTTTTCACAAAATAAATGAAAATTTATTTTTTTAATAAATTTTAATTAATTTTAAAATTTTATTAAGAAAATAAGTTTTATAAGTGGTCAATTACAACTAGCTAAAAAAATATTAGTACCGATTTTCTTATTTTAAAGTTTTTTAAAAATTGGTCTAGCAGTTTCCAAAATCGTTATGTCAATAATAGTTTTAATTGTTTGTATAGATTCTAACACTATTGACTTAATTTGTTTAATTATATGGTATCTAACCAGTATAATTTTATTATATGCATATCATTTGTTAAATGAAAATGTTAAATATTTTATAAAAACTTCAAATAGATGCCATATATATATGGATGCTAAGTGATAAATAATAATTTATCAATCTTAACCAATTTTTTTTCTGTTAAGATAAAAATATTTTTTTTAATTTATATTAAAAAGATATTGATAGTATATATGGTGAACGTATAATTTGATAAAATTTATCAAACAGCATATATATATATTAATATAATTCACGAAATTAGAAATTCGGTTAATATGATACATAATTTAAAGTTAATTTTTTTCAAGTTTAGACATTATTCCAAAAATTTAAATGCCAAAAGTGGAATTTAATCTTTCAAAATTGATGACTCATATCAATATGATTGCTTCGAAGTGCAAATTATAGGATATGGTGGATTGGAGTTTATCTGTTGGAATATCTCTTGATAAAAATTAATATCATTCATATTAAACTTCATTTGTATTTATCTATCTGCAGTCTTGATTGGAATTAAACCATTCCTTGCAATCTCCATTTGAGAGCATGGGTATATATATTATATTTCCTTTTTGCTTTGTTTTCAGGTTGATTAGGAATTCGGTCATTAACCTAAATGGCTTTAATGCATTACTTTGGTATAGTCTCATAGGCGTTTCAACACTTTAAAATATAGCAAAAAGAATAAAGAGTCTTGATTGGAAACCCTAACCAGCATCTTTACTTTCCTATTGTGAAAGTATCAACCTTTTATCTTCTTCTCTAGTTTGAAAGGCACTCCAACTCAGGAAGTCAGGAACCCATCGGTCAACAATGCGAAGCTTCTGTAGTCAAAGCAGGCTATATCAGATTCAAGAACAAATTAAATCTTATATTGGCCTAATTCCACATTTTCCTGTTTGACAATTGCCGAGGTTACTACATCATTAATCAGGTTTTATATCATTTTAAACGAGGTAGGTTGTCATGTTAGATAGGAGTTCAGATTGTCAAAGCACTTTTTTTCAAACCTGCTGACAGGAGTTTTGTCATTGTTTTTTTGTCCCATTTCTGTGAAGTCGTAGAGGTAGTCATCGGTGTTTTTTGTTTATTTATTTAACCAGAGAAGGAAGAAAACACGTACATAACTCCAACACTAGTCAATTTTTGTTGAAATTTAAAATGATACATAATCAGAAGTTTTTTCCTTGTTGGGGATATAATAATCGACCGGCATCGTTCAGGTGAAGGACCAAGAAATTTATCCGGCAGTAGTCAAATTATAAAACTCACTTGTTGGAGATATAATAATAGAAGAGCACCGTTACGTAAAGGACCAAGAAATTTCTCCGGTAATAATCAAATTGTAAAACTCAGTAGTTTGGGATATAATAATAGAAGAGCACCGTTCGTGTAAAGGACCAAGAAATTTCTCTAGTAATAATCATCACTCATAAATGAGAACCTTATTTACATTCATTGTATAATGGTAGTCACAAGTTTAATTTTAATAATATTAATTATTATTTAAAATGTTTGTACGTGTTATTCACATATAATAAAGAATATTATAATAAAAAAAATTTTATTACATAATTTGAGATTTCATAAACTAAACACAGGAATTTAATATTTTCACGACAAAAAAAATCATCTTTTATCAAGAATACATATTTTTTCAGAGATCACTTTTTTTTTTTTTTAAATCTAAAATTCTTTGAACCACCCAAAAATTACTTTTCATACTCAATTAATTTTACCATCCCAATTTTAAAATTTAAAATATAACTTTTACTTATTCACCTGCTAATCACATTTTTTATTCTCTAAACACCTTTCACACACACTCAATTTCTCCTTTCCTTTTTTCACTTTCAATTCAACATAAACCCTCAAACACTAACCCTAAAAATATCCTAAAAACTTCAATGCAAACCCTAAGATCACAAGTTCCAGAGTTAATCAAGCCATTAATTTTCAATTTAGAAATAAATTCTCTTTGATTTTGTTTGTTTTGGTTAGATGTTAATTATATTGAAATATGATATTAGGCTTTTTTTGTGTGTGAAATCATTAATTTTGAATTTGTATTTTTGAAAATTTGTGAAATTTTTTGAATTTATATTTTCAGAGATTGTGAAATCTCATAGATTTACATATTCAGAAGCAAAAGCTTTTATAATCTTTTGAATTTGCAAATCCAAAAAAGCTTTCGAATTTATTATATTAAAAAATGAAAACTTTTACAAGCTTTCGATTTTAAAAGCTTTCACTCTTGCAAATCCAAAAATTCAAATTCAGAAACTTGTAAACCCTAATACCAAATCCCAAACCCAAATCTCAAACTCTTCATCCCATTAGTTTCTTTCTGTCCTTGATATCTCTTTTTACAATATACTAGATACTAATTGTAGCTTTTAGGGTTTGAGATAAATATGAGTGTATGAAAGGGAAAAAAAAAGAACGGAAGAATATGAAAAATTGAAAAAGAAAAAACTAAGTCAAAATGGTGTGTTGGAAGGCTAAATGGTAATATAGCAATGGTTAATTATGTAATTTCCTACGAGAATATTTTTACGGAAACATTTCAATTACAATTCTTTTTGCTACAATACTATAATTATCTAATCACAATCAAGAATTATGTGAAGATCCATTACCTATAAAAGTGAACTCCACATAATGTTTTGATAGACTATACATAAATTTAAAATCTGATTGGTTAATTGTAATACAATTATTGTAGATGATATATTCTATATTTTTGTAATAAAAAATTAAGTGTAAAGAATAATATTAAGGGCATTTAAAAGTTTTTTAGGGTAACAATGAAATGAAATTGTTTGTTGTTGAGTCTTTTACTCTTAGCCAAGGATAACAAGGTTCTTTATTCACACTTTTTTTTTTCATTTTCTTGATATCTTGGTTGTCTATGCTTTTGCCTATTGCATGCCAAATTGTTCATGCGTTATTTCATGTCCAACTGATACATTGAAAATTTTGCCTAAGATTCAATCTAACTAAGTTCAAGAATTTATCAAACCAAATCTTGATATTAAAATTTCTATTCAAAACCTAACCTATTAATCTTGTAGGCAATTCGATCCATAAAGAGATTTATTCATAAGTAATCTATTTATATTAAAAGAAAAAAATTGATTTATAAATTATAACTATGTTTACATGTTCTTATAATTTAATATAAACA